AAGGAAAAGGGTCTTCTTGTGACAAACACTATGTTTAATCACAAGAAAATCCATATGTATACTAGAGAAAGAAAGAATGAGAGAAGTATGATCGATTTGTTCCTGGTGGATGACCGACTGCGAAAACAGGTTATGGATACCCGAGTGTTCAGGGGTGCTGACCTGGGAACGGATCACTATCTAGTGATTACTAGATTTAGGGGTCTGTTCGCGGGTTGGCGCTACCGGACGACAGTGACAGAACCACAGTCGGTCTGTCGCATCCGAAGCTGGAAGCTTCAGGAAGCGGATACTAGGGACAAATATCATGCGAGGGTAGCCGAAAAGCTTGACACCATCGATGGCAGAAACGAATGTGTAGAAAGAACATGGCAGAACCTTAGGGATGGAATGGTAAGTGCAGCGGAAGAAGTGTGTGGAACAATAAAAAGAGGCAGTAGTAAAAGAAGAGATGCATGGTGGAATGATGAAGTGAAAGAAGCTGTAAAGAAGAAGAAGAAAGCATGGTTAGACTACTTGGCCTCTAGTAATGATAAGGATATGAGAGAGAAGATGAAAGAAAGATATAAGCTGCAGAAAGTTCACACGAAAGCATTGATTGAGGAAGTGCGTGAAAGGTGTAGAATGGAAGCGGATGAAAGGTTGTCGCACAACTTTAAGGAGAACTCCAAACTCTTCTGGAAAGAGGTTGGAAGGGCCCGAAGTGGTGCGACGGCCTTAAGAATGAACAAAGTGCTTTCGAGAACTAATGACGTCCTATCAGAAAAATCGGACGTCATGCAGCGATGGAGCGAATTTTATAGAGAAATGTATGCGTGTGATGATCTTAGTGAGGGATCCGGGGATGACGCCGTGACTGGTACGCCAGACCCGGACCTCGATGACACTGAGGTCATCAGTATGAAAGAGATTGAACGTGCGATTCGAAGTTTGAAATGTGGTAAGGCTGCGGGACTAGACAGAGTTACTGCTGAAATGGTCAAGTATGGTGGGCCTCGCGTCTGGGACAGCTTTCATCTGCTGTGCAATTTGTGCTGGCGGACGGGGGATGTCCCGGATGATTGGCGATCCGCAGTCATTGTGCCTTTATATAAAGGTAAAGGTTCACATTTTGACTGCGGGTGCTATCGGGCGATCAGCTTGACCAGTTTAGCAAGTAAAGTTTACTCGAAGGTTTTGACACGTAGGATGCAAGAGAAATCGGAAAGATTTCTATGGGAGGCACAATGCGGATTTAGACCTGGAAGAGGATGCACGGATCAAATGTTTTCTCTCCGTATGATCACGGAAAAGCTTCTGGCTGTTAACCAGAAGATTTTCTGTGCTTTTGTGGATCTTGAGAAAGCATTTGATAAGGTTGTAAGGAAGAAAATGTGGGAACTGTTGCCGGGGTATGGTGTGGATGGCCGATTGCTAAGGGCTGTGCAGTCTCTTTACTGTGACTGTAAAGCCTGTGTGCGGGTAGGGCATGACCTGTCACCCATGTTTAGCGTCCAAACGGGCGTAAAACAGGGTTGTGTCATGTCTTCCTGGCTGTTCATACTGTATCTCGACAGCTGTTTACAAAAGCTGAAAGATAGCTGTTTGGGTGTGAAATTGGGTGACATAAAAGTAAATTGTCTGCTGTATGCTGATGATGCAGTGCTTATTGCACCATCAGAGGCAGAACTGTAGGCATTAGTCACGTGTATGAAAGAGGAATGTGAAATTAAAGGTCTCCGTTTGAATGCTAATAAAACTAAGGTTCTGGTATTTGAAAGGGACGAAGAGAGAACGAAGTGTGAAATATGGGTAAATCAGGAATGTCTAGAACAGGTAAATGAAATTGTATACTTGGGGAGTGCTTTTAGCCGGGATGGAAGATGTGATTTAGATGTGGACAGGCGTGTCGCTGCCGGGAACAAAGTCAATGGTGCCCTGACTGCGTTAGTCAAAAGGCAAGGCGTAGCGAAGAGTGCACGCCTTGCAATACATAACGCAGTGTTGGTACCGACTTTGTTATATGGCAGCGAAACCTGGGTATGCCAGAAGAAGCATAAAAGTAAGTTGAATGCAGTGGAGATGCGATCTCTTCGTAAAATGTGCGGCGTTATTATGGCCGACCGAAAGCGAAACGAAGAGATTCGCAATATGGCAGGTTTGAAAGATGACCTTATCACAAAAATTGATAAGGGCGTGCTTCGGTGGTTTGGGCACGTTGAGCGAATGAGTGAAGACCGAATGGTGAAGAAAATATATAGCGCGAAAGTTAATATTAAAAGGTGTCGAGGTAGACCGAGACTAACTTTCGAAGACCATGTGAGCAAATTGCTCGAAGAGGGTAGGGTCAAGAGTACTCGGATACCTAGACGTGCATGTATGAAGAAGATAATGAATCTGAAAGAAGCGAAAGAGATATGTAAGGATCGTGACACTTGGCGATCTGTTCTCTCTGGCTACCCCGTCAGGGATTGTGCGTGAAGATAAGTAAGTAAGTAAGTAAGTATTGTAATTTTAAAAAACATAATATTATGGAGCTATGCTGAACATAGGCCAAGGACTAACACAAAGTACTCGTAGTCCTTAGCTCCCTACATGCATTGAATTCGTGATTATAAGAAGTTAAGTGACATCGAATTTTACTTAAAATTTAAAATTTCGAAATGGTTAAAAAGTAAGTTGTATAACAGTGGATATATATGTATATAATGAAGTGAAATAATTTGTTAGTGTTATTATGACGTGACGTTTACATACGTGGTAAAGCCATGCTGCGGCTATATTAATAGTACAAATATAGTTGTAGCACGAATGGGTCAGCTCGACTGGGGAAGGACCACGCTTTCACAGAATATCAGCGTAAAATAACAGCTTAACGCTGTTGTGTTTCGTATGGTGAGTGTAGAGAACCGGAGACCTATTTTACTGGAAAAGAGGGATTCTCTCTTAGTCCTCACGGCTGACAACGCATCTGCATTTTAATTCGCAAACGAAGATAGATTTAAAAAGAATTTTAAAAAATGTCTATGGGCCACATCAACCACTTACCATCAGAGGGACTGTGTGCTCGTTTGTCACCCTAATTCTATAAAAAAGACAAGAGTGAATAGGCTTTTGTTAAGCTAAGTCAGTGCACTTTACCATCGACTACATCACAACTTACCATCATATGGGACAGTAATCAAGCACTGGCTTATAATAGTTATTAAAAAATTAGTATTGTATAATACTCAACCCCATAAAATACCAGAGGAATTGCCTACAATTAAGTACAATAAACAAAGAATAAGATCTTATCTTCAAGGTCGGTTTTCTTTCCAGGTTTTAAAAGCGGTTCGAAAAATTGCTGATGACAATAAAAGAAGGAATTTATCTGGATCGACTCGCCAATTGCGTTCTTCTTATCTCTTTCCCTTACAGTATAGTGGTGGCGCAAGAGACTTTATCATAAGAAGCTACTTTAGCAAATCCAAAATATAATCATAACTTCCGACCGATCCTCGTCTCGTTAGCCAGACGTTTTACAAGTGGTAGAGCCACGCTGCAGCTATATTATGGTTGTAGCAAGAATGCGTCGGCTCGTCCGTGATAATAGCACGCTCTCACAGAATACCAGAGTAAAATAGCAGCTTAGCAGTATTTCGCATGGTGAGAGAATAGAAACGGAGCCCGTTTTTACTAGAATCGAGGCATTTCATCTTAGTCTTCAGGATTGACAGCACAAATCTGCATTTTGATTCTTAATCGAGGATTAATGTAGTTGTCTATGGGCCATGCATCCATTTACCATCGGCTGGACCGTGTGCTCGTATGTCACCCTATTCTATAAAGGATGAATATTGTACTACGATCGTTAATGTGGCTCCTAAGCATGACGATAAAGACAAATGCTACCTACAACGGGAGAGGCTCATGTCCAGCGGTGGGCAAAATGTTTTTGCCTCAATTGACATGTTTGACAGGCGAATTGAAGATCGCACCACGTCGTCGATCGCACGTCTTGCACCTTAGACGTCTCTGTCTGTCACCAACTTGAATACTATTTGTCTCTTTAATATGCCAGATATATTATACGTAATAGAAAAACTTACATTAACAATTTTCGAATTTGAACAGAAGTTCATTATTAGCGGTCATTAATTCGGCACGAAATGTATGAATCCGACTAAAGGCCTTGTGACAACTGGCAGTAACGAACCAATATTTCCACAAGATTATAATGTCATACTCATTAAAATTCATAAAGGCCCATAATAGTTAATTGCTTTATGGTCCGTAAATCGGCTTATGAAAATATCAGTGTCACTTACACGGTTTTAGATTCCCTTTGAATCACTATTTTCCATTAAAAGCCTTAAAATTATAGCTTTTATATAAAATTTTGTGCATTATTAAATTGTTTACATTTGACCCGTGTCTGTCTTATGTCTTTTTTATACTAAAGTGACAAACGAACTTACAATTCACCTCATGGTAAATAGCTTCTGTAGTCCATAGACGCCTTCAGCCAACTTAAAACAACAGATGAGTTCTTGTGTTCTGTAGTTATTCCAGCTCTCTGTAACCTACAAACCGGAACACAGCAGTCACTATTATGCTAGTGGACAGCAGAAATAGTTAAGAATGTGATACCTACCCAGACGGACTTCCAGGCAAAAGGAGTTCTACTGTTATCCTTTTAAAGCTAAAAAACCACAAAATATCGTTTAAGATCTCAACAGCCTAATTAATAAACATAGACTTGAGCAAGATTAACTTTACTCCTAGTTTAAAGATTAAAATAACTAATTTTAATATTAATAAACATAGAATAAGGAAGGAGTAAACTAATCCGAATCCAAACTAATCTACTCTCGGAATAAAGTTAATCCTTGGCGTTACATAGTTTAAAGACGGAGTAAGCATAGATTGGGCGCGTATTTTGACATTTTGTAAAACTTTACACTTTGTAGCTGCCTAAGTTCGTATTTCGTTATTTCCATTATTATTTGTTACTTTAGTTCATTTTCAACAACCTTAAGATGGATAGAGATTATTTCGTTGATGATATGAGAGTGATAGATGAAATTAATGAAGTGGTTAAGCAGATTCCATTAATGAGACGTGTAAAATTTTATAAAATTCGTAAGAATCCACTGGAAGAACTTCAAGAAGCCGAATTTAAAATTAAATACAGATTTTCTCGCGGTACTACCGTTTTCCCTATTGACATGATGAAAAATGATTTGGCCGGTGATTCAAGAGGTGGATTTATACCACCCCATCCGAATGTTTTGACTGCCATAAGAACATGGGCCCGTGGAGAGGTAATTAGTATGTACCTATTATCAATTTTATAGGTTTTTACCTTCATTTACATTAACATCTCCCATTATCAATAGTTTTTACAATTAAGTGTGTAATTATTAGTTGTTATGATTTCTAATTCAATTACTTTTGTTCTCAACAGATACAAGATGATGCAGGAGATCTAAGTGGAATGAGTCAGCCAACAATATCACTTGTATGCAAACAAGTTGCTTTAGCACTAGTAGCACAAAGAGCAAAGTGGATTAAAATGCCACAAAGTGATGTGGAGCGGAACCATGTGATTGCAGGTTTTTATTCAGTATGTGGATTTAGACTATTGATTGCATACATATTCGAATCACGAAAGTCGGTGGAAATATCGTACAATACTACATAAACAGGAAGGAATACAGTTCAATAAATGTACAAGTAAGTTTTATAGCACCTAGCTAGCCCATGTTTGCCATATAGTTACCTAGTTATATCCTAGACAGATTCATTATAATCTCCTTAATCTATTATTTCATATTAACAAAGCTATGAGTACTTTGTTTCAGGTTGTGTCAAATGCTAATTTAGAGATCGTGGATATAGTGGCACATTGGCGAGGCACCACACATGACTCAAGAATATTTGATGAAAGTCGCATTAAACAAAGGTTTGAGCAGTCAGAATTTAAAGGCAGGCTTCTCGGAGATTTTGGTTATGTTTGTACTCCTTATTTATTCACTCCCAATACACAAAAGAAAGAAATGTACAACCGGTCGCACATCAAAATCCGAAACACTGTAGAACGATGCTTTGGAGTGTGGAAACAAAGGTTTCGGTGTTTACAACTAGAACTTAATACAAAATTAGTGAATACAAAAGTATATATTGTTGCATTGGCAATACTACACAACATTGCAATGTACAAGCAAGATGCAGTAGAAGATAATGGAAATGTTCCAGTCACAGAATTAGTAAATAACTCCCTAAGAGGAAATTCAGTACGGGCAGCATTTATTAATGAAAATTTTTAAAATAAATAATACAATATTAACATTTACAAAATAAAAATAAAAAAAGACATTTCACCGTCAAAAGCTATATGTATGTATATTTAACTTATTTTATTTTGTTATTTAGAAGCCAATTCTGGCTTACAAATTTCAACAAAAAGATAAGTAAATATATAAGACAGTTATTATAATAATAATTTTTGATTTCAGAGAATAATCATTTATAAAGGAAAATATTTCTGCTGCGTCATTGTCAACTGTCAAAGCATAACGACTACATACAATTTTTATCAATATGAAATAAATCAAGGGAAGTAATGTGATAATATTTAATTTTTAGAGTAAAGTGCTTTTATTTAGGCCGTAAATGATTGTTTCAGGGAAAGATGCAGGGTACAACATATTTCAAGTCAATATGAAGCTATGTAATACAAAAACTTTTGAGTCATTTATTAAAATTTTATTAAACTATGTTTGTATAAAAAGGGTTATTATAATATTAAAGAATTTATGGATGATAACAATCCCTGAAAATGAGATGATGGCTACCAAGCTATTTCTAATTTGTTGTGTTGTTAATTTGTTTAACATACATGATTGTAAGCTGTTATTTAAAAAAAAAGTCCCGCTGGGTTTCTTGCTGGTCCTTCAGAGAACAGAGGTTTTTTTTTCGAATCAGTGGTAATTAAACAAAAGAGTGATTTTCAATAAGTATTATTTATAATCTATATTGAATAAAAAAGTTATTGTTTCTGTTTCTGTTTTATTTTTTAAGGATAAATATATTTATTTTTTCTTCTGTATATTAATTTTGCTCTTCACACACTTTCCTTATTTCTAAAATATCTCTTTCGAGTATTGCACATTTTTGTTATTATTTATGATTTTCCATTTCAATTGCATGTTCTCCCATTTTAATTGCATGTTCCTCTTCAGCCATTTCCAAACGTATCTTTGTTCTTCCTCTTTCAACATTTTGCTATGGCTTATCATGTTGTTTATATAGTCATCATGGTTCTGTAAATGAAAACCAGTTATTAAAAAATATTACTGTTGATAAACATAACATACACTACATAAACAGAAAAACAATAATTGCTTACATAATTAAATAAAATAGGAATGATTGATGAATGAATGAATTGAGGAATTAGTCTTCGAAAATGTTATAAGCAGTATAGCAGTATGTATGTATACATTTGCTAAGAAACTAAAGAATAAAAAAATGTACTCACAATCCCATCTGAATCATATATATTATGATCCCTGAACACTTCTGCAGGATTCAACAAATCTTTGATTTCTATTACTCCATCATTAGGAGTTGCAGGTCTTGCCCCAACACCTGTTTTAGTCAATTCTTTTTTGTAGGTGCTATATTTCTTCAGAGCATTTACCTTCATAGTTTTCCACTGTATTTTCAGCTGACTTAATTGTCGATGTCGGCTATCTAACTCATTAAACCTATAAGTACAGAAGATGAACCGAAAACAACACGAGGAACAACACGTAACGCGTATTTTTCAACCATTTTCAACTCTTGTCAAGTTGACAAACTCAAAATATTGCCTGTCACTGTCATTAATGTTATCATCAAGCATTGAGTTCATTCACCAATCATTCACTGGCTCACTTATTTTACTTAATCACAGGGTACTTTTGTATATAGGAAATACTTAATCTCGGCGTATGGAATGTATTGTTTGTACGAGGTTACTCCATGTTTATTAATAACATTGTAATAAAGAAGTTAATACTCAGTTACTCTGAGATTAACTAGTCCAAGTCTAACTGCGAATTAAGCGTGGAATAAGCAATTTTTATTAATAAGGCTGCAAGCGTCTAGGTAAACTTTCTCTAAAATATCTAGTAATAAAATACTTACAGATCAAATTGAAGCGTGTTATGCCAACACAATATCCAAATATCACGTGCATTCAAACTGAAGTTGTCTGGAAGGACTTGTGTAGACACAAAGCGAACGGTTCCACTTTAAGCTTTTCGAAGAGACCGTGCAGATTTATTGCTAAAACATGTACAATGGCATATTACCTTTACTGAATTTAATATTTTTATCAAGCTTATGAGAATTGTTTAACATTATAAAGTTATTTATTTTATACGTATATTTTATTAACATATTTGTAACGGATAAGTAAGCTAAAGTGGCAAGGAGCAGGTCACATAACTCGACCTCCCCGAATGGGTTCCCGACTTGTTGTGGCGGGGGGGGCTTAGTAGCCGTGGCTTGATCACCCGCGGTGAACAAAGAGGAACCCCTTGGCTGGCCCGGGGTGTAGGGCCGGCTCGAGGTGGCTACTCCGAGTGGGCTTGGCGAGCCCACTTCGGATGTATGTCGGTGGGCTGCTGCGATGGGGTTTTAGTCGGTGCGAGTCCGAGATAATCCGTCCTTGCCCCCGCGAGGCGGGTATGCGTAGATATTTTCCTATGTAAAAAAAAGGCCATAACTCGAAAAACCGACAGCCGATGTGAAAGCAAGGTTCTCGTATGACTGAAGTAGGTACTGGTAAGCAAAGTGTAAGAAGGACCTCCACTAGAGAAAGTGGCGTCCCTCTAAGACATGTAGGAAGTCGGATAGGTGCAGGTGACTCACACCCTGTTATGTGGCATTCCTTGGGGAGGGCTATGTTCGCCAGTGGACTTTCGAAGGGCTGTTATCATGATGATGATGACAAACTTGTTTATTTCACTATCGAAGTGTATGTGTGCTTTTAGTCTTTAATAATTTGTCACTTAATCTCATACAAAAACTCATGTGATGAGGTAATGTAATAAATCATCATCAGCTATCAGAGGTTTACGGAAGGAGCCTTTCTGCGTGATAAAATTAACCTATATTTACGTCCGACGCACCCTAGACAATCAGTGAGTTTATTATTGTTATAAACTCATTGTTTTTAAGTACGTGATTACTGTCACACCTAGAGGCAAGTGGTGGTAAGTAAGTAGCTAAGATGGTAAAAGGCACTGACTCAGCTTAATAAAGCCTACTAACTCTTACCTTGAAGACACCCACATCGTAAGTAATCGGATGGAAAGACAAATACTGGCAAATTATTCTACTCATTTAGTGTATGCGTTAAGAACTACGAGGCAAACCCTTTTGTTAGAATGTGTTAGAATTTCGACAGAATACAATGTACCTACACGCACATATATATACACAGACTTGTCAATCAACCACAGATTCTGGAACTGCTGTGAATAAAAGAAGATCATGAAAAAAGCAGGCTTTGTGTCCTGGCGTATCTTGCTTGAAGAGAAAGGGGTGAATTTTTCTCTTTTGGTAAGGCTTCGTCAAGATGAGCTGGCGATTTTCGGCATAGCATCTTTGGGTTATAATCGTTTCGAGTTTGAAATAAACCGCCCTTGTTACCTGCGAGGCAGTTATGAGTAGGCATTTCCCCATGATAAAAGACATGTTGTGATTGTTTCCATATCCTTATTGTATCATCATCATCATCATCATTCATCATTACAGCCCTTCACAAGTCCACTGCTGAACATAGGCCTTCTCCAAAGAATGCCACAAAGCACGGTCCTGAGCCACCTGCATCCATCGACTTCCTGCATGTCTTACCAGGTCGTCACTCCATCTCGTGGGGGGACGCCCTACACTTCGCCTACCGGTACGAGGCTGCCACTCGAGAACCTTTCTTCCCCATCGGTTGTCGGTTCTTCGAGCTATATGGCCGGCCCGTTGCCACTTCAGCTTACTAATCCGTTGGGCTATGTCGGTAACTCTGGTTCTACTGCGGATATCCTTATTCCTAAGTTTATCACGCAGAGAAACTCCGAGCATAGCCCTCTCCATAGCTTGCTGAGCGACCTTGAGCTTCCTCATACGGCCAGCAGTGAAGGACCACGTCTCAGTTCCGTAAGTCATCACTGGCAACACGCACTGGTTGTACAATTTCGTTGTCAGGTTTTGAGGTATGTCTGACGAGAAGATGTGTCGTAGCTTCCCGAACGCTGCCCAGCCGAGTTGAATCCGTCAATTGACCTCTCGGTCGAAGTTGGACTTACCTAGTCGGACTATTTGTCCTAGGTAAACATACTCGTCAACAACTTCGAGCTTAGTGCTCCCAACAACTACCGGCATAAGTGTGACATGGACATTGAACATGATCTTTGTTTTGTACATGTTCATCTTAAGACCTATCCGTTGGGAAACACTATCGAGGTCATTGAGCATAGTGCTTAGGTCCTCCAGCGATTCTGCCATAAGGACTATATCGTCGGCAAATCGAAGGTGAGTGATGTACTCGCCATTGATGTTGATACCGTATCCTTTCCAGCCCAGAAGCTTGAAAACGTCTTCCAATGCAGCGGTGAAGAGTTTCGGGGATATGACGTCACCCTGTCTTACACCTCTCTGCAATTGGATAGGTTTCGTACTCTGGTTCTGTACTCGGATAGCCATCGTAGCCCTACTGTACAAGCACTTCAACACTTCGATATACCGATAGTCAACTTTGCACCGCTGAAGAGACTGCAGCACCGCCCAAATTTCGACGGAATCAAAGGCTTTCTCATAGTCCACATACGCCAGACATAGTGGCAAATTGTACTCTTCGGACTTCTGTACAACTTGCCGAAGGGTATGTATGTGGTCTATGGTGCTAAAGCCCTTTCGGAAACTGGCTTGTTCGGGAGGCTGGAAGTCGTCAAGTCTGCGCGCGAGACGATTCGTAATGACTCTCGAAAACAGCACGTAGACGCGGCTCAGAAGGGAAATCGGTCTGTAGTTCTTTAAGAGAGCGTTGTCACCTTTCTTGAAGAACAAGACCACCGCACTTCTGCTCCACGCCTCCGGTGTAATGCCACCATGGAGGACGGAATTAAAGAGCTTCTGAAGGACTTCAAGTACCGGTCTTCCACCCGCTTTCAGAAGCTCCGCTGTAATTCCATCCTCGCCTGGGGCTTTACCGTTTTTAAGGTGCTAGAGAGCCATTCTAATCTCGCTCAGACTGACGTCCGGGATATCTTCGGAATAGTGT